GCCATGGGCTGATACTGGAGCGTGCTGTGCGTCGCTGGCGGGATCACCGCAGAGGGCTCAGCTTCCTTCTGTGGCCGGAGTGGGTGGTCATGCTGAGGACTGGACACAGCCTGGCCATTCCTTCTGGGCAGCTACACAGAAACACGTGCCTCTGGTTTTGTCTAAGTCCGCGTAGCAGGAAGGAGTGACCTCAACCAAGGAAATGAAAACCCTGGTTCAAGAAACAGTCTTTTTTTTTTTTTTTTTTTTAAATACATTTTATTGATTTTTTACAGAGAGGAAGAGAGAGATAGAGAGTTAGAAACATTGATGAGAGAGAAACATCAATCAGCTGCCTCTTGGAGCTGCTCAAGGCTGGGCCACACACCCCCCTACTGGGGATGTGCTCACAACCAAGGTACATGCCCTTGACCGGAATCGAACCTGGGACCTTTCAGTCCACAGGCCGACGCTCTATCCACTGAGCCAAACCGGTTTCGGCAAGGAACAGTCTTGTTGCCGACACCGAACCGGATCCTGAGGACAGCACTGGGCGAACACGACACCAGCGCCTGCCCTCCTGGAGCTGACATTCCACAGGGACAAGCTGTCAGTGGAAGAGCCGCACTCTTGCTTCAGGGCAGGGAGGGGGGGATTTTGTGGAAAGACCACGGAGCAGTGCTCCGTAAGAACTCTCATGGAGCACAGGAGGTACCGGGAGGGCACTGCGTGCCAGGGGTCTGGTTAAGCGCCTGAGACACACGACCACATCTGATCGCCTTGGATGTGGCCACGTGCCCAGAACTGTGCCTAACACATGGTAGGCATTCAAGAAGTATTTGCACAATGAATGACTTCAGTTCCCACAGCAAGTTCTGTAGGGTGGCACTCTCACTGTCAGCCTGTTAACAGGATGAGTGACTTCAGTCCACAGAGAAGCGCTCTCCTGAGACCACCCAGCTGGTGAAGGCTCGGGCTGTGAGATCCAGAGCGCTGGGCTTGCCCCCTGTATTGGTTTCCTGTTGCTGCTACAACAAATCACGAATTCAGTGGCTTAACTCAGCGCAGCTGTCTTACGGTCCTGGAGGTCAGCAGCCTGGAATCCAGTTGTCCGTCCCCTTATGCTCCTCCTCTCAGGGGCTCTGGAGGAATCAGTACTGTACCTTCTCCGCTGCAGTGGCCGCCTGCACGTCTGGCTTGTGGGTGCACCATTCCTACCTCTGTTTCTGTCTTCAGGCCTTCTCCAATCCCCGCCGCTCTTATAAGGACCCCGTGATTGCTGTGGGCCCCGAGGTAATCTCCCTGTCCTGAGACCCTGATTTGAGTCCCATCTGCAAAGCCCCTTTGTCACACAGAGTAAGGTGTTCCCAGGTTCTGGGGTGTGGATGAGGACCCCTAGGCTGGGAGTGGTGAACCCATTCAGCCAAATGTCTTTACTCTGCTGTATTTCTGTTTACTTCTTTAGCTCTGCATGCTCATGAGTAAGCCTGTGTGTGTGTGTGTGTGTGTGTGTGTGTGTGTGTGTGATTAGAAAATAAGTGGACTGAAAGGAATTGCAACTCCCCCTCCCCCCGCCTTTTGATTGGTTTATTTCACTGAACATCATGTTTTCAAAAGTTTATCAACCTTTAGCAGGTAGCATTACTGATAAATAGATAAGTAAAATGTGCTAAATGATAATGTATGTATTTAGCACACTTTATTTATTTATCAGTTGATGAACATTTGGATTGTTTCCACTTACAGGAACTGCAGCTCCTGAGGCAGGGGGAGGGAAGCAGAGCTCGGGATGTCAGAGGGACTGGCTCCTGTCTACATGTTCATTCGCTTGTTGTTAGAAAGGGTTTTGCTTGTGGCGGCGGGAGCGGAGGAGCTGGTGCTCGGTGCGGCCGCGTTAGAAACCGGAGGGAGCCGGCCGGAGGGCGCCCCCCGCCCCGTGCCCACGGCCTGGAACACCCTCCGGGGATCCCCCGGCCGGGCGGGCGGGACGGGGCACCAGGCCGGCAGCGGCGCCCGGAGGCGGGGGAGCTCGCAGGGGCCGGGCCGTCCCCGGAGACCCCGTCGGCGGGCACGAGCCGCGCTGCCGCGCCCCCAGGCGGCCGTGGGCGGCAGGTGCACGCTCACGGAGGCTCAGGGGCCCGCACAGCGGAGGACGGGACGTTGGCGTTAACGGGAGACGCTCTCCTCTCCTCCCGACGCCGCTCCCTCGCCGTCGCAGCGATCACCGGGGCGCCGTGACCCCCAGACCGGAGGAGGCTGGGTCGGCGGAACCGAGGCTAGACTACTACTGGGCATGCGCATGTGCACGGGGGCGGGGCTTGCGGCGGGAGCCACGTCATCAGACTGATAGAGTCGCAGTGGAAGGCCCTGGGAACGGGAGGTAGCGTGGCCGAGTGGTCTAAGGCGCTGGATTTAGGCTCCAGTCATTTCGATGGCGTGGGTTCGAATCCCACCGCTGCCACACTGTTGATGGTTTCTCTTTTCCATCATTAAACCTTACATAATCTCCTGGTGTCATTCCACAATTCCTCCTTCTTCCTTTCCTCGGTAATGACGCTCGATATTAAAAAAAAAAAAAAAAAAAAAATGGAATTGGTGGCGGGGAGGGGAGAACTAAGAAACTGCAGCACAGGCCTCTCATGCCTAGCCTATCCCACAAACCTACCAGTCCTGCTACCCAAAAAATAAAAAGGAAAGCCTTTCTGTATTTCCAGGAAAAACCATCTGAGATACTTTGAAAAGTTCCCAACAGTCATTTCGTGCTTCCATGTCTTAGCCCAACAAGTACAAAGGTTAGGTGGGGGTGACTTAATCATGGCCTGAGCTCGGAAGGGTTCCTTCTGGCTGGCTCTGTGTACTTGGGAGAGCACCACTGACTCCAGAAACCTCTGCTGGCAGAAAGGTGTCAGGGTCCCCGGGGAGGGGCTCTGGAAGAGTGGCCCTGCCCCGCTCCGGGAGGATGAACCTTGAGGGCCCAGCTTCCCAGGTCTACCTCCTTCTTGGTCTTCAGTCTTGGTTTAGGGGCACGACGGTTATGTATTCACTCAACAACTGCTTAGGCAGGACCGACTGTGGCCGGAAACGAAGCTCCTCGGGACACACAGGGCAGACATGTGCTTGCACCCACAGAGCGTGCAGACACAGCAGTGTAGTTAATCACACTTCTGAGGAGTGGGTGCTGAGCAGTGCAGCCTGCCAACCTGGCCGGGCCAGCAGCAGAAGGGACGTTTAGCTGGGACTTGAAATTCTGTGAAGGCGATCAGGGCGCTGGGCCGAGGGCTAGCAGTGGAGCAAAAGAGGCGGCTGAGGTGTTAGGCGGGGAGGGCCATCGACTTTGATCCTGCGCTCTTCCAAGGTTGTAAGCCTGAGGGTGGCACGTTCCAAATTTGGGTTCAAAGAATTCCCTCTGGAGGGACAGGCGGCATGGCTGAGGTGCGGACGAGCGGAAATCACCCCGTATCACGTTTGGGCCCGGGCCTGCGGCAGCTCCCCGCTGAGGTCAGCCACGCCCCAGGCTCCTCCCTGGACAAGACCTGCTGGGAGGGTGGCCCACGGAATACAGAGCAGCACGTAGATGGAGGCCCTTTCAAACCGCCCAGCGCTTCACAGACATGAAGGACCGTTACTGAGCGTTGTATGCTATGCACACACGGCTCAGCCTGGCAAAGGGAGCGCACTCTGCCGCCGCTTCACAACCTTCATCGTTCAGCGGAGGGACAGCCCCCGGGGATGCCCACACCGCAGCCCGTTCCCTCTGACTGACTGACTCCTCCCCTCCCCCGCAGGGTTTGCAGATTTGCGCTGTTTCCATCTTTTCCGGGACCCAGCCTGACCGGAGGTTCACACGGCCTGTGGATGTTCCCGGAGTATGGACACGCCGCTAACACTGACACACGCCGCCGGCGTCCGCACCGCGCAGAGCCGGAGGCGCCGCCCTGCGGAAAGCGAGGCTGCTTAAGGCGTTTTGTGGGTTTAAATGTCAAAGATGATGGCGACCACCGCTGCCCTCTCCTTAACAAACAGAAGCGGTACTAAATTATAAAATACGACCAAGTCCTAATTCTTCCTGTTATAACCATATCGGAACTTTCCCAGACGTTTAATTTAAAAAGGTTTTGTTTTGCTTTGAATGTCGCTGCTGGTGCTGTGTTTGCTACGCTGAGTCACCCCCAGACTAAACGGAAGTCCAAAGGGCCGGGCTGGGCGGGCAGACGCGTGGGTGTGGGGCTCCTGCAGCCTGGCCGTCCGCACACGGGGGCCTGCGGGAGCCCAGCGGGAGCCATCAGCGCTTCCAGGACGGTCCCCGGGGTCCCGAGAGGACCCAGGAGCAGCCCCGGAGGCGCGGGGGGCGAGGAGGGCGCGGTCCCCGGAGAGGCTGCAGCGGACGATGGAGCTGCCCACACCTGCTCTGGCCGGGCCAAGAACCCACCTGGAAGCGGGGCGAGGGGGCGGGGCCGGAGATGAAGGGAGGGGCGGGGCCTGGCAGGACACGTGGGAGAGGGGCGGGGCCGGAGCGGGAGGGGCGGGCAGGACACGCGGAGGGGGGCGGGGCCGGAGATGAAGGGGGGGCAGGGCCGGTGCGGAAGAGGCGGGGCCGGGCAGGAACGTGGGAGGAGGGCGGGGCCAGAGCGGGCGGGGCGGGGCGGGAGCGGAAGGGCGGGGCGGGAGCGGGCGGGGCGGGAGTGGGCGGGAGCGGAAGGGCGGGGCGGGAGCGGGCGGGCCGGGCAGGACACGCGGAGGGGGCGGGGCCGGGCCCAGAGGGAGGAGCAGCCCGGCTGGGCTCCGGCGCACCCCTCCTCCCCGGAAAAGGAGGAACCAAAGCGGGGAGACCCGAGGCGACCCAGGCTGGACCGGGGTGGGAGCAGTCCCGTTAGGCGGAGCAGGCTTAAGGCTAGGGCCTCATCGGAACCGGGCCAGGCCCGAGCGGGCAGCAGGACCGAGGCCCAGAGGGGTGTCAGGCCGGAGGGTGAGGCGGGGCGGGGCCGGCGGAGGGTGAGGCGGGACGGGGCCTGGTCAGACGGTCAGACCGCCGGCCGGCCTCGGAGCAGCAGGGCGGCGGCGAGCAGGCCGAGCAGCAGCAGCAGCGCGAGCAGCAGCCGCAGCAGCCCCCGCGCGGGGCGGGGCGGCGGGCGGGCCCGCAGGTAGCGCTCCACGGCGTCGGCGAAGTGGAACTTGTCGGGGGCGTAGCCCAGCTGCGCGCGTGCCTTGCGGATCTGGAAGGTGTGCGTCACGGCCACGCTGTGCACCTGCGGGGCGCCGCGCGGAGCTGCTGTAACCTGAGCCCAGGCCATGCCCCTCCCGGCCCGGCTGTGCGCCCTGACTCCCGCTGGGCCTCGGGCTGTGGGCTCCTGGCCCCCCTCTGCACCGAGCTCCGGGCAGGGACCGTGTCTGCCTCCCAGCGGGGCCTGCCAAGGGCAAGTTCGGTGAGGAAACCCGCAGGCCGAGCGGCAGAGGCGCCAGGCCCTCCCGGGAGGGCTCCTTTGCCCGGAGCTGCCCGCCAGGGAGCCCCGCCGGCAGCCAGCAGCTCACATGACCCCTGGCTCCCGGCACACGCTGTGGTTACTTCACAGCCTGCGGGTCTGGCTGCAGGTCAGCTCTCAGCCCCGCTACCGAAGCCAGGAGCACAGGCCGCTGTTTCTCCCTGTGAGCCGGTGGGATGTGGACACCCAGAGCAGAGGTGATGGTTAGAGACAGAAAACAGCGGTGTGGCTCAGTGGATAGAGCGTCCGCCTGCGGACTGAAGGTCCCGGGTTTGATTCCGGTCAAGGGCATGTACCTGGGTTGCAGACACATCCCCAGTAGGGGGTGTGCAGGAGGCAGCTGATAGATGTTTCTCTCTCATCGGTGTTTCTAACTCTCTATCCCTCTCCCTTCCTCTCTGTAAAGTCAATAAAATATATTTAAAAAAAAAGAAAGAAAACAGCTGCTCACACGATGGCGCTGTGTCCCCATTCCAGCCCCCTGCCCCTCCCATGGTTCCAGGAGAGGCTGTGGGGCCTGCCTGTTTCTGCCCAGCCTCCACTGCCGGGTGGGGAGCACGAAGCTTGGGGGGCCTTGCCAGTTCCAGAACGGGGTGACCGCGGACAGATCACCGACTTTTCTAGTCCTGTTTCTCACCAGAAAGTGAGATCACAACCATAATTCTCTTGCCCTTCCTAACCTGCCAGGACTGCCCGAGTGCAGTGCCTCCCAGGCCAGCGGAGAAAACCAATGGGAGTGCACCGGGAGCGTTCTGCAAAGACACCGAACACCCGCAAAGGTTTCTGCACGAACACGCCCTCTCTAACTGCGTGTGCCAGGAGAGACACCCCTCTCTGAGAGCACGTCTGTGCAGAGCAGGCACTTGCTATGTACACACCGTGCGGTAAGCATGGACAGGGACCCGGAGCCAAAGGCCCAGGGCAGGGCTGCGAGTTGGCAGAGTAGGTGGGAGTTGTGGCATTCTAAAAAGTAAAAGTCATGCCGGCTGCGTGGCTCAGTGGTTGATCATCAACCAGGAGGCCACGGTTCGATCCTGGTCACGGCACATGCCCAGGTTATGGACTTGATCCCCAGCATGGGGCGCGCAGGAGGCAGGTGATGGATGATTCTCTCTCCCTCTCTCTTCCTCTCTGAAATCGATAAAAACATATTAGAAATAAATAAGTAACAATAAACAGTAAATGTCATGGGGCCTGTTTCTGGAGCCTCCGGGTTGGCTGGGAGGATAGACTGGATGAAATGACAATGATGAGGGAAGGGCTTGGAGCTGTCACCGTTCAGAGTGAGAGAACACTCGGCCTCAGCAAAGCCCTGGGTCAGATGCTCACAAAGGACCTAGCCCTAGACCTGGGCCCCAGGGGGTTCTGAGACCTCAGCCAGTCCCAGTCACGGTGCCAAAGGGGCGAGGGTGGTGGCAGTGGGGTGGACAGAGGACAGGGAGAGGGAGGTGGTGGCGGTGGGGGGACAGAGGGCAGGGAGAGGGAGGTGGTGGCGGTGGGGGTGGACAGAGGGCAGGGAGAGGGAGGTGGTGGCGGTGGGGGTGGACAGAGGGCAGGGAGAGGGAGGTGGTGGCAGTGGGGGGACAGAGGGCAGGGAGAGGGAGGTGGTGGCGGTGGGGTGAACAGAGGGCAGGGAGAGGGAGGTGGCGGTGGGGTGAACAGAGGGCAGGAAGGGGTGAGGGTGCGGGGCACAGGCCCAGCAGCACTTACCTCACTGCGGGTGAGCAGGGGCGGGACGCTGCAGAGGGGCCTGAGCGCCAGGTGCAGGTACTCCATCAGCACGGCTGTGGGAGAGAGGCCGCTGCCCAGGGCGCCTAGCTCTGCGCTCCCTGCAGGGCCCTGGGGCCTGTCCGCTATTGCTCTGCCAGGAGGAGTCTTCCCTTTGCAGACATGCTCTGTCTGTGGCTCCTCACACCAGCAGTTCACAGCACAGGCTGGGGCCGTATTCGGCCGAGAAACGGCACAGTTAAGCTGTTACCACATTTTAAGGACGGACCGAGCAGATTCCAAGTTACCTCCTGATAACGCCTGCCTCATCACCTCTATCCCAACGCCAGAGACCCGTGCATGACATCTGTGCACGGGGAGGTCCCTCGAGGCTGCCGCTGCCGCTGGGGCCTCCCTCCACACAGCCTCAGGCCCTGCCTCGTCGAACTCCTGGGCGAGGGGCACTCTGCCTGTTGGGCTTTTATTATATGGACGCTCTCTGGATAGGAGAGGAAGAAGCTGGGGTGGTGGCTTCTCCTGGGTTGCGCTCTGGACCACCGCAAAGGCAGCTGATGCTTCCCTGCCCCTGGTCCCACAGATTGATGTTCTGGGTGCGGCCGAGGTGTTGTTATATTTTAAAAGCCCGGGTGGACTGCAATGTGCAGCAGGACTAAGAGCCTTCAGTCTCAGCTGGCTCCCGGAGCCCGGAAAGCTCTGGAGCCTAAGGAGTGTAATCGCCGTGCGATGCGGACCCTGAGCATCCCTCCCGCCCCTGAGCCCTGGGGGACAGCATTGTACAAACTCCTGTTTAACAGGCAAGCCTCCCAGCTCCAGCCCCAATGATGGTTCTCTCCCATCATTGATGTTTCTCTCTCTCTCTCCCTCTCCTGTCCTCTCTGAAATCAATAAAAAATACATTTTTAAAAAGGCAGCATCCCAGCGCCTGTAAAATAAGGGTCCCATGGAGGTTCCCAGGAGCACCGCCCCCTGTGATGTGGGCCCCGTCCCCAGGGTGAACACCGCACCCCTAAGCCCTGCTCTGCTCCCCTAACCCCAGCTCTGCTCACCTAACTCCTGCTCTGCTGCGCTGGAGGCAGCCGGCAGGGGATGGGGTGTGAGCAGAGACCGGCCTTCAGGGTGAGGAGGAGAGTCTAGGGTTAAAGTGGAACCTCAAGTCCCAAAGCACCCGGCTCAGGACGGCCTTGGGGCCAGAGTGCGATGCCCCCAGTGCAGGCCCCGGGGGAATGCCCTAACAGGGCCTCGGTTGCCTCGCCTCTACCCTGAGCCCCACACGACCCATCTTGCACGTGGCACGAGGTTTAAACACGCAGGGGAGGGGCGGGGCGGACGTGCGGGGTGGGGAGCTGGGCGAACCAGCCCGGAGTGAGGTCGCCTCAGTACCATCCCTCCGGGCGCCCTCGCCTCCGCCCGGCCCTGGGAGTGCAGGTCCCGGACGTGGGGGCTGCTGACGCCCTTTGCTCACCCGTCAGGTAGACGCAGGAGGTGGGCACCTGGATCCAGGGCTGGCTGTACCCCAGCTTCTCGAACTGCAAGGGAACGGGCCTGAGGTAAAGATTCCCCGGGGCTCGAGCGGAACAGCCACACCGCCCTCCTCCGGCCCACAGAGGTCCCTCCGCCCGGCCGCCCGCGCCGGCCACCCGGTGAAGCCGCGCCTCGGCCGGAAAGCCCCGCAGGCCCGAGTGCCGGGGGAGTCCCGGGTCATTCGCACGCTTTGTCTGTGTGCGTCTGCGGCACCCAGAGGCGCCTGTGCAGACCTGATTCTTCTACGGTAGCCTGGGGGCACCCAGGTGTGCGGAGGGTGTGGGAGAGGACGCAGACCGGAGGGGCTATGGCCACGGGAACACAGGCCCCAGAAGGCAGCTAGCGCCCAGCTCCAGGAGGGCCGGTGTGACCCGTGTCCGGCTGCTTTGGAAATGGAGTCTGATGTGTTAGCGCAGGGAGGGTGCAGGGCCAGCAGAGCGGGTGGCACCTGGGACCTACCAGCGGGGCCATCCACTCGAAGAGGTTGACGCTCTCCCCGTCGTTGATGTAGTAGGCCTGCCCGCTCTGGGGACACGGAGGGACAGTCAGGCCCCCTCCCGCCTCCCCCTGCGGGCGCCCACCCCGGCCAGGGCACTGCCGGAGCCGGTCCGCTCTGAGCAGCCCCCACGGGCGCCCCGCCCTGCGGGTGGGGAGGGGGCGGTCTGTGGGCCCGGAGCCCTCGGACTCTGGGAGGGACAGGACGGGTGGTGGAGGGGAGGGGCTGGCCGGGAGGGACAGCACGGACTCACGGCCACGAAGCCCTTGGCCGCGGTGAGCGCCTCGGCCGCCAGCTCGTGCGCCCGCACCAGGTTTTGCACGTGGACCCAGTTCATCCTGGCGCCGCGGTCCCCGAAGCGGAACATGAAGAGCCTCTTCTGGATGTGGCTCTGGGGGGGGGGGGGGGGAGAAGGGGGTGATGGACACGACCCGGCTGCTCCCGCCTTCCATCTCTGCTGCGGCCCCTAACCCAAACCCCAACCCTAACCTCAACCCCAACCCTAACCCCAACCCCAACCCTAACCCCAACCCCAATCCCAACCCCAACCCCAACCCTAACCCTAACCCCAACCCCAACCCCAACCCAACCCTAACCCTAACCCAACCCTAACCCCAACCCAACCCCAACCCTAACCCCAACCCCAACCCCAACCCTAACCCTAACCAGAACCCCAACCCCAACCCAACCCTAACCCTAACCCTAACCCTAACCCCAACCCAACCCCAACCCTAAGCCTAACCCCAACCCAACCCCAACCCCAACCCTAATCCCAACCCAACCCCAACCCCAACCCCAACCCCAACCCCAACCCCAACCCTAACCCTAACCCTAACCCCAACCCAACCCCAACCCTAACCCTAACCCCAACCCAACCCCAACCCCAACCCAACCCCAACCCCAACCCTAACCTCAACCCCAACCCTAACCCCAACCCAACCCCATCCCCAACCCAACCCCAACCCCAACCCAACCCCAACCCCAACCCAACCCCAACCCCAACCCTAACCTCAACCCCAACCCTAACCCCAACCCAACCCCATCCCCAACCCAACCCCAACCACAACCCAACCCCATCCCCAATCCAACCCCAACCCCAACTCCAACCCAACCCCAACCCAACCCCAACCCCAATCCCAACCACAACCCTAACCCCAACCCCAACCCTAACCCCAACCCAACCCTAACCCCAACCCTAACCCCAACCCAACCCCACCCCAACCAACCCCAACCCCAACCCCAACCCCAACCCAACCCCAACCCTAACCCAACCCCAACCCCAACCCCAACCCCAACCCAACCCTAACCCTAACCCCAACCCAACCCCAACCCTAACCCTAACCCCAACCCCAACCCCAACACCAACCCTAACCCTAACCCCAACCCCAACCCCAACCCAACCCTAACCCTAACCCTAACCCTAACCCCAACCCAACCCCAACCCTAACCCTAACCCCAACCCAACCCCAACCCCAACCCTAATCCCAACCCAACCCCAACCCCAACCCCAACCCCAACACAACCCTAACCCTAACCCTAACCCCAACCCAACCCCAACCCTAACCCTAACCCCAACCCAACCCCAACCCTAACCCTAACCCTAACCCCAACCCCAACCCTAACCCTAATCCCAACCCAACCCCAACCCCAACCCAACCCCAACCCCAACCCCAATCCCAACCCTAACCCTAACCCCAACCCTAACCCCAACTCCACCCCCAACCCCAACCCCAACCCAACCCCAACCCCAACCCCAACCCCAACACAAACCCCAACCCTAACCCTAACCCTAACCCCAACCCAACCCAAACTCCAACCCAACCCCAAACCTAACCCCAACCCCAACCCCAACCCCAACCTTAACCCTAACCCCAACCCCAACCCCAACCCCAACCCCAACCCCACCCCCAACCCAACCCCAACCCTAACAACCCCAACCCAACCCCAACCCCAACCCCAACCCCAACCCAACCCCAACCCCAACCCCAACCCAACCCCAACACTAACCCTAAACCCAAACCCAACCCTAACCCTAACCCCACCCCAACCCCAACCCTAACCCCAACCCCAACCCCAACCCAACCCCAACCCTAACAACCCCAACCCAACCCCAACCCCAAACCCAACCCAACCCCAACCCACCCCAACCCCAACCCCAACCCCAACCCCCTAACCCCAACCCAACCCCAACACAACCCCAATCCCAACTCCACTCAACCCCAACCCCAACCCTAACAACCCCAACCCTAACCCTAACCCCAACCCCAACCCCAACCCCAATCCAACCCCAACCCAACCCCAACCCCAACCCCACCCCAACCCCACCCCAACCCCAACCCCAAACCCAACCCTAACCCAAACCCCAACCCCAACCCTAACCTCAACCCCAACCCTAACCCCAACCCAACCCCATCCCCAACCCCAACCAAAACCCTAACCCCAATCCCAACCCAACCCCAACCCCAACCCCAACTCCAACCCAACCCCAACCCCAACCCCAATCCCAACCCCAACCACAACCCTAACCCCAACCCTAACCCCAACCCAACCCTAACCCCAACCCTAACCCCAACCCAACCCCACCCCAACCAACCCCAACCCCAACCCAACCCCAACCCAACCCCAACCCTAACCCTAACCCCAACCCCAACCCCATCCCACCCCAACCCCAACCCCAACCCAACCCTAACCCTAACCCTAACCCTAACCCACGCTGTCCTGGGGCTGGTGCCCGTTGTGCTCTCAGCCCCGCGGGGAGGGGGGCCTTGCTCTCCCTCCGCTCAGACCCCACATCAGCTCACCCGCAGGCCCAGGGGGCTGCGCCGTCAGAGTCTGTCCTAGACCCACTGCTTCCTCCGCCCTGCTGCCCTCAGCTCACACCGGGTCCCGAAGTGGCCCCCCGGCCCCCCACTGTGCCCCCCCCGGCCCTGCTGTGTCCCTGGCCCTGCTGCGCCCCCCCCAGCCCCTGCTCCGTTCCCCCCCCCGGCCCTGCTGCGTCCTCCTGGGGCCCCCACTGTGCCCCCTTGGGCCAGGGACACCTCAGCCCTGGGCGGAAGGCGTGTCCCCGTTCAGAACCTCTGGTGCCGGTCTGGCAGGGGGAAGCCTCAGGCCTGACAGCGGCCTTCTGGTCCGGCTCCAGCTTCCCGTGGACAGGCCCCGGCCTGTGGGTCCCCCGGCCCGGCCTCCCCCGGGAACACGCTGACGGCCCCCTCAGGGCTCCGTGCTGCTCCCTCTGCTGGAGGCGCCTCCTCAGTCCCCGTGCTGTGCTCTGCCTCCCCCTCACACGATGCTCGAACCCCGCCCTGTGTCTGCACGCGCCCGGCCATGTGTCATGCTGGCCACCCACCGCGCTGGACGAGGCCCTAAGCCCACAGGCAGGATTGTCTGCTTGCTCCCGTCTGTCCCCACGCCAGAGCTCCTGTCGGTCTCATCCCAGGCGTGTGCCCATGCTGTCTCCTCTGCTTGGACAGCCTTCTCTCCTACCTTCTTCTCCTTCATCACTTCCTCCAGGAAGTCCTTCTGGACTTCCCTACCTACCAAGCTCATCTTCTCGTTCTTCTTCCCATAAATTCCCCACCACGCCGAGCCTGTGACCTGCATCTGTGATCTCACCACGCCGTCTGTGACCTCACCACGCCGAGTCTGTGACCTGCAGAGTGACCTCACCACGCCGAGCCTGTGACCTGCACCTGTGACCTCGCCACGCCGAGCCTGTGACCTGCACCTGTGACCTCACCACACTGAGTCTGTGACCTCACCACACCGAGTCTGTGACCTGCAGTGTGACCTCGCCACGCCGAGTCTGTGACCTGCACCTGTGACCTCACCATGCCAAGTCAGTGACCTGCACCTGTGACCTCACCACGCCGAGTCTGTGACCTGCACCTGTGACCTCACCACACTGAGTCTGTGACCTCACCATACCTAGTCTTTGACCTGCAGTGTGACCTCGCCACGCCGAGTCTGTGACCTGCAGTGTGACCTCACCACGCCGAGTCTGTGACCTGCAGTGTGACCTTGCCACGCCGAGTCTGTGACCTGCCCGTGTGACCTCACCACACCGAGTCTGTGACCTGCCCTTGTGACCTCGCCACGCCGAGTCTGTGACCTGCACCTGTGACCTCACCACACTGAGTCTATGACCTCACCACACCGAGTCTGTGACCTGCAGTGTGACCTCGCCACGCCGAGTCTGTGACCTGCAGTGTGACTTCGCCACGCCGAGTCTGTGACCTGCCCGTGTGACCTCACCACGCCGAGTCTGTGACCTGCACCTGTGACCTCACCATGCCGAGTCTGTGATTTGCACCTGTGACCTCAGCACACCGAGTCTGTGACCTACACCTTTGACCTCACCACACTGAGTCTGTGACCTCACCACACCGAGTCTTTACCTGCAGTGTGACCTCGCCACGCCGAGTCTGTGACCTGCTTTGTGACCTCACCACGCCGAGTCTGTGACCTGCAGTGTGACCTTGCCACGCCGAGTCTGTGACCTGCCCGTGTGACCTCACCAGGCCGAGTCTGTGACCTGCCCGTGTGACCTCCCACGCCGAGTCTGTGACCTGCACCTGTGACCTCGCCACGCCGAGTCTGTGACCTGCACCTGTGACCTCACCACACCGAGTCTGTGACCTGCAGTGTGACCTCGCCACGGCGAGTCCGTGACCTGCACCTGTGACCTCACCACGCCGAGTCTGTGACCTGCAGTGTGACCTCGCCACGCCGAGTCTGTGACCTGCAGTGTGACCTCGCCACGCCGAGTCTGTGACCTGCCCGTGTGACCTCACCACGCAGAGTCTGTGACGTGCACCTGTGACCTCACCACGCCGAGTCTGTGACCTGCACCTGTGACCTCACCACGCCTAGTCTGTGACCTGTACCTGTGACCTCACCACACTGAGTCTGTGACCTCACCACACCGAGTCTGTGACCTGCAGTGTGACCTCGCCACGCCGAGTCTGTGACCTGCACCTGTGACCTCACCACGCCGAGCCTGTGACCTGCCTATGTGACCTTGCCACGCCGAGTCTGTGACCTGCACCTGTGACCGCGCCACGCCGAGTCTGTGACCTGCCTGTGTGACCTCACCACGCCGAGTCTGTGACCTGCACCTGTGACCTCACCATGCCGAGTCTGTGATCTGCACCTGTGACCTCACCACGCCGAGTCTGTGACCTGCCCCTGTGACCTCACCCCGCCGAGTCTGTGACCTGCACCTGTGTCCTCACCACGCCGAGCCTGTGACCTACACCTGTGACCTCACGATGCCGAGTCTGTGACCTGCAGTGTGACCTCGCCACGCCGAGTCTGTTACCTGCAGTGTGACCTCGCCACGCCGAGTCTGTGACCTGCAGTGTGACCTCGTGTGACCTGCAGTGTGACCTCGTG